TATGGCGGCGGAGGGAGGGGGAGGAGGTAGGAGCTAGGCGCGAGAAGAAAAAGTTGAAGAAGAAGAAGAAGAAGAAGAAGTAAAGAAAGGAGGGAGGAGGTAGGAGGGCGGACGAAGGAGGGAGGACAAAGGAGGGAGGAGGAAAGCCATGGGGGCAGCCCCACTAGGAGAAAGGACGGAGGGGGGGGGAAGGTAAGGAGGGAGGAGAGAGGAAGAGGGAGGAGGGTAAGATGGTTGGGCTATGGCGGCCGCTGACGTGGAGTTGACGCGCTATGGGGAAGTGGGGGGAGGGGGTGCGCTACGAAAAAGGAGGCGAGAGGGGAGGTAGGAGGTAGGAGGTAGGAGGTAGGAGGGAGGAGCGAGGAGGGAGGTGGAAAGTTATGGCGGTGGAGGAGGGAGGGAACCTATGGCGAGAAGAAACGAGAAGAAGAAGACGAGGAAGAAGAAGAAGACGAAGACGAAGAAGAAGAAGAAGAAGAAGAGGAAGAGGAAGAAGAAGTTGAAGAAAGGAGGGAGGGAGGAGGGAGGGAGGAGGAAAGCTATGGCGGCGAAGGGAGGGGGTAGGACGTAGGAGGTAGGCGCGAGGAGGTAAGAGCCTAGAGGAGGGAAGCAATAGCGAGGGGAGAGGGAGGAGGGAGGAGGGAGGCTATGGCGAGGGGGGAGGGAGGGGGTAGGAGGGAGTAGGTGTCGGGAGGGGGTGCGCTAGGAAAAAGGAGGGAGGATGGGCGAAGTATAAGGAGGGAGGAGGGAGGAAGAGGGAGGAGGGAGGGCGGCACGAGGAGGGGAGGAGGAGAAGGGCGATGGAGAGGGGAGAGGGAGGGCCACTATGAGAGAGGAGGGGAGGGAGGAGGGAGGAGGGAGGAGGAAAGCTATGGTGGCGGAGGGAGGGGGAGGAGGTAGGAGGTAGGCGCGAGGAGGTAGGAGCTTGGAGGGAGGGAAGCAATAGCAAGGGGAGACGAAGGAGGTAGGAGGGAGGAGGGAGGAGGGAGGCTATGGCGAGGGGGGAGGGAGGAGGTAGGAGTGAGTGGGTGTCCGGAGGGGGTGCGCTAGGAGAAAGGAGGGAGGAGGGGCAAAGGGTAAGGAGGGAGGAGGGAGAAAGAGGGAGGAGGGAGGAGGGAGGGCGGCACGAAGAGGGGAGGAGGAGATAGGCGATGGAGAGGGGAGAGGGAGGGCCACTATGAGAGAGGAGGGGGGCAATGGCGGCTGATGACGTGGAGCTCGTGGGGGGGGACGGCGGACGAGGGAGGGAGGGTGTCACAGAAAGGGGAGGAGGCGGCGTGGCGAAGAAGAAGAAGGAGAAGAAGTTGAAGAAGAAGGAGAAGAAGAAAAAAAAGTTCAAAAAGAAGAAGAAGAAGAAACGAAAAGAGGAAGAACAAGAAGATGAAGAACCGAAAAAGAAAACGACGAAGGAGAAGAAACGAAAACGAAAAACACGAAAGATAAGAAACAAAAAAGAAGAAGAAGAAAAGGAAGAAGAAAAAGCGAAGAAGAAGAAGATGAAACAAAAAAGAAGAAACGAAGAAGAAAAACACGGAGAAGAAACAAAGAAGAAAAAATAAAGAAGAAGAAGAAGAAGAAGAGTCGAAAAACAAAAAGAAATGAAAAAGAAGCAGAAAAGAAGAAGAAACGAAAAAGAAGAGGAAGAAGAAGAAATGAAGAAGAAGAAGAAGAAGAAGAAGAAGACAAAGCTTACCTTCGTGGAGATGGTGCGAGGCAGCACTTGAGGAAGTCGGCGGGAAGGCAGCAGGAGGACGACGACGGCGCGGGACGATGATGAGCTCGATGAAGGGCGGAGGGCGGAGTGGGCACCGGGGGGGGGGGCGCAGATCGGCCCAGGATTCAAATTCAAATCCTGGAAGCTACGCGCGAAATGATTGAAAAAAATACTTTGAAAAGGGGCCTACCGGGCCCCGAAAAATTAGATTTTCGGTGCGAAAAAGTTTTTGGCCCTGCAGGCCAACGGGCAACGGCGCAAAAGAAAAAATTTGACGCCTTTTTCGATACGGCGTTGAGGGGGTCCGGGTGCCTGGCCGGGGGGGTTGCATGGCCGAGCGCCCCGAGTGCCATTCTGAGCGGGCCCGGGTGCACCGGGCGCCCGGGGGAGGAAACCTAGGAAACGGGAGAATTTTACGCCCACTGAGACATGCCCAAAGCTAGCACTTTTTTTTTTTTTTTTTTTGGGACAAATGCTCCAGTCTATTCGTGGGGAGCAACACGTGCTGGGAACCGGGCCCAGCGTCCCATATAGAATTATTATACAAACGATTTGAAATACCAGGGCCATTACCTGTTCGGCTAAGAACAATCCGAGAACTATGAAAAAGATTCTAGAAATTTAGGAAAAACATGGACAACTGCTAACCTATTGCTAGGCTACTCAAGCAGCACTTACTAAGTCAAAACGGAAAGCCACAGAAGCCCTGGAATCCCCAACAAAACATTCTAAAATTCTCTAACACTGTCTTATTGCCTGCCGAGCTTTCCCAGGCCTCATGCCCCCATCCTGCTAGGTTAAACCACCAGTACCTGGCCCAGCTATCGAGTCCGAGCCTCAGCCGACCGGTACGCTGATCCGTGCCGACCGGGTGCAGGCGT